GAAGAAGAAGAAAACCCCACCAAAAATAAACTTCGAAAATCCAGAAAATGGCGAATTAATGCTGTATTTCTCGCTCAAAACGCTGCAAAATCAGATCGTGGAGACCTAGATCAAAATTGGAGCAGTGGATATAAAATGGAAATGGGGTTATTTTAATCGCTGTGTTTGGTCCGGAAAATGAAGAGAAAGCAAAACGGAGACGCAAATTTTAGGCGTTTGGGGGTTTTTCTTTGATGGGTGTGCGCTGATACACCGAAGCAAACTCAAAATTCCAGAGTTCCGGAGGAGAGAGAGAGGTCACCACAGAGATGACTGAAAGTGGGAATTAGGATACAGAGATGAATAATGCTTAACCTCAAATATTTATTAATCCCCTAAATTTCCTTTTCCCTTTTCGCCCCACTGAGAAAATCCCAAAAATTTAGAAGCTTTTTTTCAACAAAAGGGGAATATCTTGTGTGCGCCCACACTCTCCCTGTCATCTCGTCCTCATCTCTTCTCAACCGTTGGATTCAGATCAGATGCTGATCCAACGGACACCCAGCTAAGGGGATGTTTGCTGACCAATTATACCTTCTGGACAACGTATACAAGCAACCGTTATTGTTTTTTCATTCTCTAGAATTTTGAAATATTCATTTAGCCCCTCAACTTTTAAAAAATAATTATTTTGAACACACAGATAATGCAGCCATGTAAACTGGTAATGGTAATAAAATAATAACAAGGATTAAAATGGTAATTTTTAAAAAACTCTAAGAGTCATAAAAAAGTATTAAAATAGAGAGTAGGGATGAAAGTTTTTGTTTTTTTAAATGATTGGTTTTAAAATAACCATAAATACATGGTGGACATAACGATTTTTTTTATATATGGTTTGAACAAGATTTTTGTGGAGCAGGGGCAGGTATATATGAGGTATAGTTATTACAAATTCATACCGCCATTAAAGCCTGTGCAGCAATGAAATTGATTTCAGCCGGATTTTCAAGTTGTGGACTCTGATTTCATATGCAAAACCTGAACTTGAAAAGGAGAAGGTTGCCTTGAAACAAAGTGGCTCATCAACTTGCGAAGTTTGCAGCAGACAAGTTTTGAGGAAGAAGAAGATATATATATATACACACACACGCAAATGGTTTCAAGATATTTAAAAAAATAATAATAATTTTGAGAAATAAGATAATTTCAAATTTAATGTAAATGGAGATGGTTTTTGGATGTATCCTAAAATAGTTAGATTTTTCCTATGAGACTTAAGNTTTTTTGGAGAAATACCCTTTCTTCTTTCTATTAGTATAAATACATTATTCGACTGATATTTATTAGTTACAATAATAATAAATTTTAATTTATTTTATTATTATATTACTTGTAATGAATATTTTTTAGTATAATATTAAAATTAATTAATAATTAAAATAAAATTACATTAACTAAAATACTTACCATCATCTTTTATATAAAATATTATTAAATTTTATTATTATAATATTTTATAATAATGAATTATATTTTTAAAAACTATTGATATTAATTAATAATAATAAAGCAAAATTATAAAATTAAATATAAATTTATAACATTTTATAATAAAATTATATCAACTAATAAAATTTGTATAATTTTTTGTTAGGGAAAAGTTATTAATAGTATAAATGAAAAATAAATAATAAAAGTATAAAACAATTAATTAATAAAGTTATGATGGTCGTTAATGGATGAGAGAGAAAGAAAGAGAGTTGTGAAATAATTAGAATAAATATGTGGGGCTGAATAAGTAATGATAATAGGATTTATGAGGTTGTATAAGATAAACGAAATTAGAGAAAGTGATTATAAAGTTTAAGGTGAGTCCCACTATTTTATTTCATTTATGCAATTTGATAAACATCATCCAAATTAATGAAAAGAATTAATTCTCATTCCTTTCAAGTAAACATAGTAGGGTTGGCAAAAATGTTATTTCTGTACGTACCTAATTACTTTTAAAATACATTATTATTTTATATCATTTTTAAAGAGCATATAAAAAATCATGAAAATTCAACCACTATCTAGAGAGATTTTTCAATCATTTTAAGTATAATTAAAAAATACTTTGCAGCCACAATATGCATAGTTTAATTGAGATGTACTCGTTCATTCAAAATTAGAAGTTCAATTATCACATCTTCAATTTGTTGAATTAAAAAAAGAAAAAAAAATACTTTAGATCCATTTAAAGTGTTCTCTTCTTTTTTAAAACGGTTAAACTGTAAATTAACATTGGATTATTTTATATATATATATGATGATTATATATTTTCATTTTTCTCTACTATTTTAAAATAGAAATTAAAGAGTATTACCTGATGACTTCTCTAAATTTAGACTCAAATTCTTTATGTGATTCTCAATTTTATGATACTCAATGTTGAATTTATAAACAAGAAAAAAGAAAACTCATAAAGATATTGTGGAAAAGAAACAACGAGCAACGAATATACTTTGTCAGGAAAAAAAAAAGAAAGAAAAAGAATATGCGTCTGCTAAAAACTATATAAACTATTTTTCGATTCCAAATTCAAAATTTTGGATAACTAAAAAATAACTTTAAAAAATATATTTTATGCAATATCACATCAATATATATTTTTTTAAATCCAAATATTTTATTGAGATCGAATATTTCTTAAAAAGTCGAGATATTTAAATTATTTAACACGGACAATAGAAATTCGTACCTACGATATTCACGAGTAGAGGTCAAGTATTCGCCCATTTGAACTATGTTCATCATATTAGCTAATTTTAATTTAGATGGAACGTTGATCAAATTTATGTGTTTATTCTATTTTGATCTTCATATTTAATATATATATTTTCCATAAAAATCTTATCTTGGTCCCTTCCATTTTTTATATTACGTTCCATATAATTCTTAGATAGCTTCATTAAATGAGTGGCTTAAAGTACAAATTTACATGGCAACATATAAGATTTATATAAATTGCACCGCATAGTATTGTCGTGAGGATTAAAATAAAAAATTTAAAATATAATAATAAACCCACATAATGACAATAATGGAATAATTGTAAAAAAAAAAAAATCATAAATTAAAGTAGGGAATTATTTTTTCTTTTGGAAAAGAAATAGGGAAAGTTATTGAAAATTTGAAAGCGACCATAATAATGTAATTATCGCCAAGGGTAAAATGGTCAGTTTTGCCCACTAGGCGTTTGACTTGGTCAGTGCTTCTGGATTGGAGGTGTCCCGTATGGGAAAATTTCTGGTTGTATTCATAAATGCAACCATTTTTTCTTCCCACGTTCCATTCCCTTTTAATGAAAGAATTTAAATTGTAATAAAAAAGAAAGAAAGAATTTAATTAATTAATGGCTTACATGTCTTTCTTTATTTGTAACTTTAATTTATCTTTCTCATTCAACTTTCATGTTTGTTGTCAATTTCAACTTTATTCTTCTAAAATTTTAATTAAATTCTATAGATTGACTTTAATCAATCTCAATAATTTATGTTGTTAATAAGTATTAAAAAATTATTAGTCATATTACTCTCACATTGGACTTAATTAATGTCGAGTCTAATTAACCCTTTCTACCTTTTTATTTATTTGTTATAGTCGCTTTCCTTAAACTTTATATGTATTTTAATATTTTTTGTACGTTAATTTGTTTTCTCTCTTAAATTATAAAGACTTTTGTTTCCTTAAACTAAATAAATATCTAAGTTTTTTTATAGTAATGAAAATGAACAAATTAATAAAAGAGAAATTTCACTTAATATAAGAAGATTGTTTTGTGGCTAATTACTAAAATTGGATGGCTTAGCTGAGAATTGGAATGGTTGAAAAATGAGAGTTCGCTCCCAGTAGTATACTATTGAATTTTATTGAGTTGCGTTTCTTTTTAAAATGTTTTATTTACGCTATTATGTCCACAATTATAGGTTTCTATAGTTAATTTTAGTACACCAATTAAACCAAATAATTATCATTATTATGATATGACATAAGAGAGTAGGCTAGCTAGATAAAACAAATGTTAGACAAGTCAAAAGATTCTATTTGATTGAACCGACACATATTTTTTTATATTGCTTAAGTCAACATGAATTTAGCTCAATAGTAAATAACATCTATGTACCATTTCTCTTAAGGTCGAAGGTTCACACTTCATATTATTTATATTGCATACTCGTTTTGATGTAGGTAATTGTTAGTGATTGTTTATAATAGTTACCACATCTTTTTTTGCAAAAAATCATTTGTTCAGATTCGTAAAAAAAAGCGAGATATTTTGCATAGCATATAGAAAAAAAAAACTGTGAAATTTGTCGTCTCTTTGCTGATTCATTAAGTTAAAACTATATTTATTTTTAGCCAAAGTAACTTTTGTTTAAGTATCTTTATAAAGTATATTTAAAAAAAAAAGTATCTTTGTAAAGTATATAACTTAAAAGAGAGTTTCGGATTCCCAACTATTGGTATCCGCCCTCTTACAAAATGATAATATTTGTTTGTTACGACATTATTTTATCTACATTAGTTGCTAAACCAAGCTTTATTTATTATTACTTTTAGAACATGGTTTTAAAAATATGGGGTGACTGGTGAGAATAGAAACTTTTGTACTATATATAAAAAAAAAAGTTTGTCGATATTTTAATCGTGCGAAGCTGAGATTCTAACATACGAGAACGAAACGATGAGTCGTTGAACCAAAACGGTGCGTATTAGCTGCGGGAAAGAAACGAATGGTAATATTCGAAGATTCGGTTGTAAAAGGATGTGGAGAGGAAATTTCGTGGCTGCCAGATGGATTCGGCTGACTTAGAACTGCCACGTGTGAGATACGTAACCCAGAGAAGTTGGGTTGGCCATGTTTTTGGATGTGAGTTCTTTGACAGCTCAGTCCACATGGAATCTCAGTACTCCACCCTTGACTTTTTCTCC